AGTATTTCCTTCAGAATCTCCACATGTATGAGCACATTCTCTAGGTCTTATAAATTAATTAATTGTTTCTTCCATGTCGTACCCAAGTTACCTACACCCAAGGAAACATCAGCAACTTCCAGGGATAAAAATGTTAGCAGGTAGCAATACTTCTGCAATTAGAACTGTTTCTCACTGAGTGTGTAAAACTGAAGAAAAACAAACTAGAAGAAAATAGTAGTTCACAAAATTAATAGGATTGTGAAGGATGTGGAGCTAACATAACCAGGCCTTGGGAATTACTTGATAGCAATCTGTTTATTCAAACACTCACACTACAGTCAATTCTCTTGCAGGATTTCTTAGTAGCAAGAGGGCCCGTTTTGGTTTATGCACATTTCCTAGCTTAGAAGGACACCAAGCATTTCAGAGTTTCCCACCTGGAAATGCACTCTGTGCACTACGAAATATCTGTATTAAGACAGACTGTTCAGACCCCAAAGTAAACCAGAAATGCATCTGGAAGTCTTTTTGGATAACATTTCCATGCCTTTATTTTGTTTCTAACATGAAGAACAAACTACAGTTGTTTGAATACTAGCCTCTACTGCTCTCAACAAGTTCCAGGGATCTAAACCAGTCACATATGTGTAAGTACACTCGAATACTGTGTTCAGTTTTGGGCCCCTCACTACAAGAGGGGCTGGAGCGTGTCCAGAGAAGGGCAACAAGGCTGGTGAGGGGTCTGGAGAGCAAGTCTTATGAGGAGCGGCTGAGGGAACTGGGGTTGTTTAGCCTGGAGAAAAGGAGGCTGAGGGGAGACCTTATCACTCTCTACAACCACCTGAAAGGAGGTTGTAGCAAGGTGGGTGTTGGTCTCTTTTCCCAGGTAACAAATAATAGGACATGAGGAAATGGTCTCAAGTTGCGCCAGGGGAGGTTTAGATTGGACATGAGAAAAAATTTTTTCACTGAAAGGGTTGTCAAGCATTGGAAGAGGCATTCTATGATTCTATGATCCCTGGAGGTGTTTGGGACATGGTTTAGTGGTGGACTTGGCAGTATTAGGTTACCAGCTGGACTCAATGATCTTAAGGGTCTTTTCCAACCTAAACAATTCTATGATTCTATGATTCTAAGTACACACTCTAAGTAAAAATTGCAAAAAATCCAAATCTGCGAATCCTGGGATTATACACAAGGACAGGCAGAGATGGAAACACTAACAGGGATGGGGCCAAAGCCATACTTACTTGGCAACCATAAGAAGTATTATGATTTTAAGATTTACAACTTGGTTGTTTCCCAAGTTAGCAGCAAACAAAGAAGAAGCAGGTAGAATATTGTGCATCTCTAAATTGGGTCTTCCCTTTCTTTAATATAAAAGTACTATTAAAAGAAAGCTATGGAAATACCATTATTTTCAAGTTGCACATTGGAAGTATAAAATACTTTTCTGAGACTACGTCATCGCCAGAATCATCAACTACCTTCTGGTAGAAATCTGGATTTTAATTTTTTTTTTAAATCATCTATGTGTCAGAAAGCCACCTACTAGCTCAACTTGCATTTCACTGCCAGAAAACAAACAGATAGAAGAAATAATGTGTAACTTCCATACTTTTTTTGAGAAACCTAGCCACTGGGATGGAAATCTCTTACTATTGCTGCTTAAACCTGAATCGGCCAAATCTCAAATTTAACAGTGAAAACTTTCTGCAGTCAAAAGAGAAGGCTGAGTATTCTGATACTGCTCAAGGGGTACATAAATATAATTTTGGGGCCTTTCCTTTACCTTCTCTTGCAAACTCTATTTCCTGTTCTCCCTGTATTTGGCATTTAAAGATGAAGTTAACTTTATCCGCAAGCACAAGAGTGAACGAATCAGACACGGAAAGAATGGAAAGATTATTTTAATTAGGTGTAAAACATCATTTCAATAAGGATAAGTAGTACAGCCAGGTGATCAGAATTGCTTGTTACTGGCCTCATGTCTTCCATATCATTTATGGAAATATTTTTTTTTAGTATTATTGTTACCTATTACATGATACTGGCTTAATGGGGCTAGATCAGGCTTTTAAAATTATAGCTGTGCCAACACAAAAGAATTGCCTCAAAAACATCTGGATGGGATGATTTGCTTTTTAATTACTCAGCAAGTACATCGAGAGCAGTTTCAACAGTCAGAAAAACATTTAAAAACACTGATGTTTTAATATGACCTATAGTGTCATCCTATGACAGAAAACTAAAATAATAGTATTGGAAGACATTTAGACTTTTAAATACACTTTTTCAGCTAGAACTTAGGAAACATCTGTAAAGGTAGCTATAATTATTTTTTCTTTCTTTGCAGTATCAGGATGACTCAATTAGTAGCAAGCATCAGATTTACTTATTACAAAGGGCACTGCTAATACAAAAGGATTAATTTGAATTTTGCTTTCTTTTTTTGACTTTTAAATACACTTTTTCAGCTAGAACTTAGGAAACATCTGTAAAGGTAGCTATAATTATTTTTTCTTTCTTTGCAGTATCAGGATGACTCAATTAGTAGCAAGCATCAGATTTACTTATTACAAAGGGCACTGCTAATACAAAAGGATTAATTTGAATTTTGCTTTCTTTTTTAATTCAGTTAATTTCAGTAAGCCTCAAAATCATAGCATAGTTTGGGTTGGAAGGGACCTCTAAAGGTCATCTAGTCCAACCCCCCTGCCATGGGCAGGGACATCTTCAACTAGATCAGCTTGCTCAGAGCCCCGTCCAACCTGACCTTGAATGTTTCCAGGCATGGGGCATCCACCACCTTGCTGGGCAACCTGTGCCAGTGCTTCACCACCCTCAGCGTAAAAAATTTCTTCCTTATA